CGCTTACAAGCATGAAATTCAAAAGTGCTGCAATTCACAGACAACCATCAACAGTTTCTTAAATAATTCACTTAGCATTTAATTAATAAGTAACATGTGATTAGCAAACTCATGTCCCATAAATGATTATATTTGATAAAAGAAATAAAAACAAAATCTTGATTTAAAAATCTGGTATTTTTCTTTGTTAATAAATATTAATAGTAATCCAGTACACACAGAAGCATTTGATAAATGAGTAAATTAAGGAAAAACGGGGCAATTCCTAGGCCTCATATGTATAACACTGGTTTTCCTTACCGATGTAACTTCCCATGACACAGATTCTAATTTCTGCCTACTCTGGAATGAAACAGCATTAAGCATTCATACATGTAATTAAGCATAATATGTTGGAACAGAGAAGAAAAGGGGGAATGGTCTAAAAATAGATTAGAGGTATTCTTTATAAACTTACAGTATGGCACTGGAGACAAACACGTGAGTTTTGGATTTTGGTGGATCTTGGTTCAAATCTTAGCTCAGTCATTTAACTGGTCAGTGACCTTGGTAAAAGAATCGAATCTCCCTGAACCACAGAAATAAAGATTATACTGAACATTGTAAGGCTAAATAAAACAAAGGCTGTAAAGTGGTAGTAGGGGGACTATCCCACTGAGGCGCTTGGTGAGCTCTTTAAGTTACTGTATCTCTTTCTCTGTCAAATTCTGGGTTGGGGTTTAAGCATCCTTGGTTGGAGAGACTGATGAAGAACTTACCAGAGCTACTGAATCCTAGGCAGGCCTGAGGGCACCTCATATTTTGGTCAAGTCAATGGAGGTGGACACAAAAACAGCAAAATACACCTTGATGAGAGCAAAGTAGGCAAGAGGGCTGAGTGGGGACCCACTTTGCGTCCCTGAATCAGCCAGAAACCTACGGCTCATTGCTTAGTTACTCAGACTCACTACCTCTTAGAGCTGGGAAAGAATGTCTAGTAATCCCGGCTTTACTAATAGGAAAGTGAGGCTTAGGGGCAAAATAACTGAGTTTCCATAGCTGGCGGGAGGCAGACCCGGGACAGGAACCCAGCTTTCCTGACATTCGTCCAACGCTCTTTCTTCTAAGGAGGTCACACCAGCAAGGACACTGAGCTGTCAAGCCCGTGATCAGGCACCTTCTACTGTGGAAATCCACAAGGAAATGTACCAGAGACACTCACGGGAAACACACGCTTTTTGAGGCAGGGTTTGCTCTCCTCCCTCTGACGCCCTTCTCCTTTCCTGCCCTAGTGTTTGGGGCTAGATCTTGTGTGTCTCAAGGACTCTTACTCGCCCTTTAGCCAAACGCCTGGATGACAGCCAAGCCCATGGGTTGGCCTGTGTTTACTTCCCTTGGGTCCCCTTGGATCCCGTTTGGCCTCTGGCCTCTTCTCATTGCATCAGCTCCCATGGATGAAAAGGGCCCAGACAGTCATAACCACCATTAAGAGCAATAGCCACTAGCATCTTCTAAGTGCCCGCTATGCTGTTTGCAGTGTGCTGGATAATTTACATATATTATCTCCTTTAATCTCCACATAACCTACAGGGTAGGACTTACTGTCTTCATTTTACAGATTTATAGGTGACAGAGTTAAGGTCAAGCGATGTACCTAAGGTTGTACAATTCAGAGGCAGCAATGAATTTCAAAAAGACTCCGTGCTCTTTACAGCTATGACGCTACTTTTCTTTCTGGTAAAGCAATCAAAGAATGTTTGCTCCAGTTAAGGGTTCTTTACAGCAAATTCCCTCCATTCACTGCAAGTTACGCCTTCCACTAAGGAAGCCCAATTTTGAATCACTGAAAGACACTATTTTTCTCACGTACACATCAAGATTTCTCTTCTGTATGGGAGAGAATACAGAGAGGCAGGGGAAAGATGTGAATTCATCTTAAAAAAAACTGCCCTTTACAGTGAGTAAAATGTAATTATTCTTTACTCAGAAAGGACTCTATCTCCACCTGTAAACTGCTTTTCTGAAAGGTTCAGGAGCTCTTATTCTTTTAAAATCATGATTTTCTTTTTAAAAAATTATATGAAGGGGAAATAGTTTTTCTTATGTTTCTTTTTTAAAATTGGCATATGGGAAGACATAGATCAAAAATGTATAAGCAAACACCCTCCCTCTCTCCAGGTGTGTTGTGTGTGCATACGTGTGCATGAGTATTATGTACATATACTTGTATATATTCTCTTCATAGAACACGTGTTGTTTTGCTTCATTAAAGCCAATATTTTGTAATTTCATTTGACATCTATTAGCGCCAGTTAACTGCCAGCTAACGGGCTGAGATTTGTGAGTTTTGTGTGGAATGAGATGGCCTGGCTCTCAAGGGGCTCTCAGTAAAGGCTACGTGTCCTTGTAACTCAGAAATCCATGTACACCCAAGTAACTTGCCAAAGGAAATCAACGTTCATATAAAATCAGAACTGTTGCTCTTAGTTCCAGGAAATAAGTCACCTTATGGTTTAAGGACAGTGGCATTAAATGTGTCAATTAAAACTCTTCATAACACACACATTACTGTCTTCCTCAGCAAGGCTTCTCTTACCTTGATCTTTTGGTGGGACTGATAAAGAATTCTTCATTCTGAAGTATCTGACTTGAATAATAACTTCCCTGAAAATAACCAAGCACAGATAATAATTAGAAGATAATTGAGATACCATGTCAACATGTACAAAAAAATACAAATTAAAAAAAATTTTTTAAAGTCTTTTTATTGATAATTATATGAACAGTAAGGAACGGACTGGACTATTAGGAAATTGATGTTTTTACATCCTTCTCCTTTTTATACAGACAGGATCCTTCTGAATGCACTGGTCTGGGCTTGGAGAGGGCAACAAGGACACAGACAGAGGCTGTACCTGCACCTCTGCCCTCGTAGGGTCAGGAGATGTGCGAACAGGCCAAGTTAAGTTCCCCCCAAATGCCCTACCTGGTAGTGACATATTCTGTTTAAGAAGAGACAACTCCAACGTTTCACAATACAGGTAAATGTAATATAACTGCAACATAACCGCTTGATGAAACAGAATTCCGTCATTAAAGGGCAATTTTGGAGAATATGCAGCAACATGGAAAATGATGATATAAGGTACTGGATGAACGTACCAAGTGATGGACACACTAGGCAAACAACTACATTAAAAAAAAGGCGCAGAAAAATGCACGACAGAAACGTACTAAGATGCACATCGGCCTTGCTCTTGGTGATGTAATTACAGGCGTTTCCTTTCCATGTTAGTTATTTTCCAAATTGCCTAGAATACAAGGTTCCACAGTAATAAGCCATTTGAATGTCAAAATAAGACAAAGTCCTTGAAAAAATATGAGTAAATATTTTTATAAGCCTTCAAACACAAAAGTATTTCTAAGCATGATATCAAAGACAGAAGCCATTAAGGTAAAGATGTATGATTTTTTCCATTTAAATTTTTAAATGTTTTTTAAACAGAAAACTAGGTAAAATAAAAGGACAGGCCTTCTGCTTCCAGCCAAGCCTGAGTAACAAAGACCAGATTTGCCCTCCTTCCTGAAACAAGCAAGACTCAGACAAACTATATGAAACAATGTTTCAAAATACTGGATATCAAGTCCCAAAGTCCTGATTTTGTGAGACAGGAAACAAATGAGCTGAGCCCTACCAGCTATGATGCAGGAAGGGAGAGCCCTGGGCGAGACTCCCGGAGTAATGGAGCAAGTAGCTGGAGAGAGAGGGAGCAGTGAATCCATGCAGTCAGAGTACAGATCCTAGGAAGATTTAAATACACAGCTGAGATGCCTGGAAACAGTTCCATCCTTTTAGGTCTTGCCTTAAGATTTGTTTTGTGAAGCCAGAGAGATGGTTTGGCATCAGGCTAATTATTCTCCCTCACTAAAGCAAGGTTCTTCTTTGTACTCTAGCCAATGTCCTGTGAATTAGGAGTTTTTCAGCCTAGCTGGTAGAACAGGAAATATTCCTGTCCATCTGTGAGTGCTGGGCACCTTGCATCTTTCCTGGGCCTCTGGGAGCCTCCGCTCTGGCATGTGCTTATCAGTACACAAGTGACCACTTTAAATGGGGACCCTCTCCATCACCTTCTCTCTCTCTCCAGTCATTAAAATGCAATATACTAATGCTTCCAGGTTGCAAAACAAGACATAAAACTGTCTTTATTTGCAGAAGGCATGATCTGTCTATGTAGAAAATTCAATGGAATCTATAAAAATAACTAAATGAGTTTAATAAGGTTCAAGAATACACGGTCAATAGACAAGAATCAATACATTTCATATACTAGTAACAATCAGAAATGGAAAGAATAAATCAGAAGTTAAAATTTAAAATACTATTTGTGA